GGTCAAGTCCAGCCTTTCACTTCCGCGCGACAATCCCATCATCTGATTTTTCCAGATTTACTTCTACCTGAACATCAAGCTGTCTTTTATAGGTAGCTTAACTTTTGTTTATAACTTAAACATATTTCAGTGCAAGTTTCTCATTGTGGTCAACCACCTCATCTCTTTCCCCTTAAATATTTGTGTGTGTGTGTGTGTGTGTTAGATTCTCCTACCTCCCCCATCAACCAAGATGAGAATTCTTTGAGATATGTCTGCTCTGTTTTCATAGCATTCAAGTTGTCATTAAAACTTTTCTTTAACTCTCTTTTCCTGTTATATATCTAAACCTACATATGATCTCCTCAGTTAAGATTTGCCCAAGGCAGCCTAAGTCAGCAGTTAAGAATTTTAGTTTTAAAATCAGACATTATTTTTTGGTATGGATCTCAACTCAGCTATTTCTAAGCTGTGTGACTTTGGGTCACTTACTTGTCTTTCCTGAACATCAGGTATCTCCCTATAAAGTGAAGATAATAATTGTTACTTCACAGAGGTATTGCAAGGCTTAAGTAAAGTGCTATCTTTGACATTCTTGGCATAGCATCTGGCCTGCAATAAGTGTTAATGCATTCAGCTATTATTACTATGCCCTACCCTATCTTGTGTTCTTCTTTCTGTTCCTGTGGCTAGTTCAGAACAACTTACAGAGCTACTCTTCCATAATGAAGAGGCTTATAAAGGTTTTTAATCCTTTAACTTCAGCTAAAGTCAATGTGTGTGTGTGGTACTTGGGATCCAATCCAGGGCCTTGTGCATGATGGGCAAGTCCTCTATCACTGAGGTGCATCCCCAGCCCTCTGAGCTTCCACTTATTAAATGGCTGTCACAAACGACCTGTAGATCACATAACAGGCATTGGTGTGCCATCGAAGGCAGACCTGGGGCCTGAGGTGCAAACATGACCACTGTGTGCTTTCCAGTAGGAGCATTATAACTGCTGTGGCATTCCTGTTCCAAATGTCACAGCACTGTTAGGATAAAGTGCTTCCATGGTCCTATCAAGATGAAGTAAGATCCTTGCCAAACGTGGTGGTCGAGTCTGTAATCCCAGCAGCTTGGGGAGGCCGCGGCAGAAGGATCAGGAGTTGAAAGCCAGCCTCAGCAAAAGCAAGGTGCCAAATAAATCAGTGAGACCCTGCCTCTAAATAAAATACAAAATAGGGTAGGATGTGGTTCAGTGGTCGAGTGCCTCTGAGTTTAATCCCTGGTACCCCCCACCTCTTCCCTGCAAAAAGATAAATTGAAATCCATGACTTGTATCCTTTAGCCCTTAGATCCCAGTGACACGGAACCTGCTACTTTGCAAGATAGCCCATTTCACTGCACAATAGTTTTATAGATTAAGGATTTCAGTGTTTGTTTCAAAACCTGACCCAATATGTTCTTCACATTGACTTCTTTTTAAAGAAATACAAAGAAACAATCTAATATCTTTTTTTTTAACCTGATAATTTTTTAACCTTTAAATATTTGAATCTGATGATTTCTTCTCTATAGTTCTTCCCTCCCCTGTACATAAGAGTTGTTTGTCCATTATGGTCCCCTTTGCTTAGAAAATGAATATTATTTACATATGTTGTGTTTTGTACAACTAAAAGCTCTTGGTCTGTGTACCTTGTAGGTACACATCTAGAGCCTTTGGACTCTTGATGGCCCTGCCTGAGTGTTAAGTTTTCCATAAATAGCTATGGAGGTGCCCAGAGAACTCTAATTTTAAGTCACTGGAGAAGAAGTCTGGTCATTTATTTCAAAGATGACTCATTCTTGATTTAAACATTTATAGAGGAACTGATGTGTTAGCTCCCACAGGCCTCTCTCTTGGTTTTTCTCTCCTCAGTCTCTTTGGACTGAGAAAAAGAAAAAAAGAAGAAGAAGAAGAACCAGAGAAGGACTTTTAGATTTGGTTCCCTCTCCATGTTCTTTGTGACTGTTGGTAAAACTGTCCTGGCACTCTGGATGCACAGGCCTTTCCTTAATAGGAAACCTTCAGGAATATTATTGTTTTCCAGTGAAAGCAGGCAACAGCAAAATCTAGGGTAACTTAAAAGTAAGTTTGGTTTTTCTCTTTCCAAAGCTCTTCAGATTCTCAAGTATTAAATGCATTTTTCATCAAATTTCTGACAGTCTCATTCTCCAGGCCCTCCAGGCAGTGTGGTAGAGTAGTGGGAGTGCTGTCAGTGAAGTGCCTGGGGCTGAGTCAACCTTGCTGTTCCCGTCTGTCGCTGAGACCTGAGTTTCCTCAGTGAATGGAGGAATGATCTGCCTGCCACACAGGGCTGCTGTGAGCATGAAATGAGTAAATTTTTATAAAGTGCTTTAGAATGGTTTCTGATACACACCAGGTCATTGTGGAGGTTGCATTGGTAGGTAAGATAGTTTCATTTCTTCATTCAGAGGAAGCAGCAGCCACTTTATAGACAGCAAGCCACAGAAGATAGCAAGACTCGTGTCTTTAGTAATCTACTGAGCCAACTAACTGTTGAGAGAACAACATGGATCTAGTTTCTTGTTCTGCAGGGAATTCTAATGTCACCAGCTTTTAAAAGCTGTTGGAAATGGATTCTCAGGTCGTTCATCATCCGGGTAAAAGAGCTTTTTTATCACATGATCATAGAATCCCTGCTAATAAATGTTCAATCAAGGAAGTGTAGGCACAGAAACGGGTAGTGACATTGTACCCTTCACAGTCACAGGCTCTGCCCTGCCATGTGACTGCTCCCTGCTTTGGCATTCCTTTTTCCATCTGACATTCCAGCATTCTGGTCTTAGTATTCAGGCTTCCTGCTTCCTGGGGTGACAGGGTAACCAAGGAATGCGGTGCTGTTTTTGGTGTGATGTTCTGAGGATCCCTTAGAGTTATAAACTAGGGCAAATGATAAATAACAGAACATACCTCCTCCTATTGTTGAAAGTAATCTCGGCTTATGATAGCTTTAGCAGTGGGTCTCACAATTCAAAGGAGACTGTGTTCATTTACTTTCAATTGAATACATACTGTGGTCATTTCATCACTACAGGGTGTTTAACAGTTGGTTCCTTCCTTCCTCTTAAATCAGAGTCACTCATACAGAGAACCCCGTTTTGTTCAATAGACGGTGATTTGTTCATCTGGTTGGTTTTATAGATTTCTATCACTGATGATAATGCCTACCATGTGACTCTATGCCTAACTTATCCTGCCCGGAAGCATAAGTAGGATTAACATAAAGAGGACACAGAATCTTTTCCCAGGCCAAAGGAATGACAGAATGTCAACAACTGATTCTAGTATAAGATGTGGTAAGACAGGTCTTATAATTGAAGCTCAGGCAGGGGTAAGGGGTGTCACAGGAACTCAGGTGGCTGATTTTCAGTTAGGAGGTCTCTATTAATATTTACCGGATATGTGGAGGGTCTGGCAAAGCTGGGCATGGGGTAGCACAAGAAGCAGCTGAGAGTAGCCCCTATAGGTCTTGAGTGCCCTGATGTAGAGAAGGGTCTCTGTGATCAAAGGCCATCAGCTTTCTACGGAGGGAGGTGGGGGTCAGATCTGTGATTACAAAAGGGAACTTTGGATGCCACGCCAGGTGGCCATGGTAGTAATTTAGGCAAGATCTGAGGAGGCCTTGAACCATTAGCACCATAAGGACAGGCTGGCTCAGAACTGGCAGATGCCATAACTGAGAAAAGGTTTTAAATAGAATAGGAACTCTGATTCTCTTTAAATTCTTTTAAATATACACCAACTTCAGAAGAGGAGAGAGAAAGGTTCTGAGGACCCTCCCAGTATTCATCGTCCGGCTTCAGTCTTTATCAGTATTTTGTCAATCTTCTTTCGTCTCCCCAGCTATCTGGGGCAAAGAAAGGAAGTTGATATTTTCAAGCAGTATCAGACACATGCCATCTCTCTTTTAGTTTGCACAAGTTCAGGAGGACAATTAATTTTTGCACAAGTCATTATCTCACCCAAGTTAAAAACAGTTCTGTAATATCACTTAATAAAACCTTATTTCATGTAAATACTTGGAAGTCCTTGAGAGCCACTTCAGTGGTGCTTTTTAATTTTGTAGAGATTAGCTTTCTTTCTAAGGGCCCATCTGGGAAGTAGGCAGAGTGTCCTGAGGAAAATGGCAAAATGCTCTCTGCAGGAGGGATGCGTCTGTCGTGTGGTGCACACTGAGTGTGGACGGGAAGCTAAGTTTTATTTTGTGTATACACTTATTCCCTGGGAATAGCAATAGAAAGCTGTGATTAGACCTCCTGGCTTTAGATCATATGAATTAAATATATGTCCTGAGATACTGCCACAGATATACCGGACCTGCATACCATCTAGCTTCTCATTCTGGTCACTATCCGGTAGTCCTCAACCAGGACATATGGCACTGTCTGGAGTCTCTTTTAATTGTCATAACCTTGGGAGGATCTAGTAGAAAGATGGCAGGGAAGGTGCAGGACAGCCTTGCGGTCCTTACTTGCCCAAAATGTCAATAGTTCTGTATTAGAGAAATAGCATATTCCAGAAGAGACCTACTCTTTTCAGTTTGCTGCTAGAGTTCACGTTTGAGTGCCAGATGCATTACACATTGTTCTTCTTATGAGAGAGGTTAATGTCCTAATATGGGTTTTTCCTTTCCTCTGCATCACCTAAGCTGGGTCTGGCCAGATCTTGGAACCTACCAAACTTCATTCCAGTTTTTATTTTCTTGTGTCTCAGACTCTAGCAGAGGATGGAAGTGATTTGGTTTCTTTGTATAGGAGATTTAAGGTGGAGTTTATATTCTGAGGACATATTCACTGATCTGAGCAAAGTTCTCTCTCTTAAAGAAGGTAGTAGCTTGGGGACACTGTTAAACAAGCCAGTGGGGGCCTGTTAAATCAAGATGTAATCTTTATTTCTTCAGCCAGATTTGAAAATGATCAGTCATTTGTAGTAAATAAGAAGCAAAACTTAAGAATTGCACCTTCTCTATTTATAGGAAATACAGTTGGAGCATGCAAAGCAAGCCTTTGTGCAACGGGATAATGCCAAAACTGGAAGAGTCACAGCCATTGACTTCCGAGACATCATGGTCACTATCCGGCCCCACGTCTTGACACCTTTTGTAGAAGAATGTCTAGTAGCTGTAAGTTGTAACTTGCCCTAATGACATATTTTTCAACCTGGTTTAAGCTTAGTAAATGTGAGATTATGAAGAACACTTATAAATTATGTTCTTTTTCTTCTTAAAACTCCAACATTGGGGCTGGGGTTGTGGCTCAGTAGTAGAGCACTTGCCTAGCACGCATGAGGCACTGGGTTTGATCCTCAACACCACATACAAATGAATAAATAAAATAAAGATATTGTGTACATCTACAAATAAAAACATATTTTTAAAAAGCCCCAACATTTTCTTAATGTGATTGTATAAATTACCAAACTTAGAAACTAGTTGGCTAGTTTTAGTGGGTAGGTTAATTTGTTTGCTGGATTATATGGAATATCCTAGAGAAATGCACAGTTGTGTCTCTGTATCCATTGGGGATTCCTTCCAGGACCCTCTCATGAATACCAAAATTTGCAAATGCTCAAGTTGCTTCTATAAAGTGGCATAGTCTTTGCTTATAACCAATGCACATGATTTTGATACTTTAAATCATCTCCAGATTACTTATAATACTCAATTCAATGTGAATGTTACGTAAATGGTAGTTATACTGTATTGTTTGGGGAATAACGATGAGAAAAATGTTTGCATGTGCAGTACAGATGTAAATTTCCCCAAATCTTTTCAGTTTGGGAGTGGTCAAATCCATGGATATGGAACTCATGTATATGGAAACCTGACTATATTAACCTGTTAAAGAAAAAAGGAAAAATCAGCTTGTGATCTTGTGTTAATTTCACTTTTTATTTTGAGTTATGTCAAACGCTGATCTTTTTTCTTATCTAAAGGGAAAAAATGGTGCATGCATTTATTGTTTGTTGGAATAGTGGGCAGAGCAGAAACTCTAGACCTTAGATTTGCTTGTTCATCCAGTGTTCATGTGTCGAGGCTATGATGGCACATGTGGCAGGCAGAACCCTGCCATCTGTATCATCCCAGAGGGTATCCAGCTGTTGTCCTGACATCACAGGCACCGTTCAATAGTGGGTTCCTAAGCATCATGGTGGTGGTTCATGGAGCATCAGAATCAAAAGGGATAGTTATTGAAAATAAAGATTGTAGGTTTCTTTTAGGCCTGTATTTTACCATCTCTAGGTAATGAGGTCTTAGACTCTAACTGGTACAAATTCTAGATGGTTCTTATGATAACTCAAATTTGGGGACCACTTCCAATGGTAGCTTTCCTTTTGCCAGTCTTGGGCAAAAGACTTTCATTGTTTTCACAATTTACTCAGGGCAGGTGTTCAGGAACCATTCAGTTTCCCTCTTCCCAATGTTTCATTCTGGAGACAGGGCCTTCAGACAAGGCTTTTCCACTCTGGCACTGTGTTAATCTACTCCACCCCCATCCCCCATCCCCACCACCACCACCACCACCACCACCTCCTTTTCCATACTAAATGCTCATGTCAGCTATTTAAATGATTACTAAGTGGAGATTTATGTGGTTGTTACCTTATAAAGAAGTACTTTCCTAATAAAAACATTTTGCCTTGTTAGGAAAAGATAGAATTTGAAACCCCACACTGAAGTTCCATTCATAATGGACATGCTTTCTATTTCCTTTGTCCCGTGTGAAGAAATATGCTTTCTTAAGAACTCTGATTATCAGAATTCTAATGAGTATTAACCCCCATTCAAGCACATGACATCCCGTAATTTTATCATGATATGCTTGTTTGTTAGAGATCCCACCAATTTGAAGTCTGTACTTAAATGATGATTTATTACTGGTTGTAAGTAATGTGACAAATCTTGATTTTAATGTTAGATTGATCACTTTCCATAGTATGTTTATGTTGATATAATACAGTTTTGCATGTGTAAGCACATAAATGTGTGCATTTGTATAATATTTGCTCATTAGATGAAATAAACCAACTTATAAAACATTTCCAATTGAAATTTGAACTCTGTAAATTATTGCTGGTTCCATTGTTATGATCTTACACATGTATTTATTTAGTTTTCTAAGAGTTGTACATGGAATGTACCAGGTTCTGGTCATGATTAGTTGCAGTTACTTCTAAAAATCATTTATGGCTTTTTTTTAATGTGAAAGAAAAATGCATGTGATCATTTGTTTTTATACACTCAATCTTGGTTAATTCTATACTATGTACTTCTGAATCTTCCTCACTTACAAATCTTTTGTTTTTCTTCTCTCTTATTTTCAACTTACTGAGGCTGCTGGAGGTACCACATCTCATCAAGTTAGTTTCTCCTATTTTAATGGATTTAATTCGCTTCTTAACAACATGGAACTCATTAGAAAGATCTACAGCACTCTGGCGGGCAACAGGAAAGATGTAGAGGTGACTAAGGGTGAGTGAGAATGTATCTGAATTTTTGCCTGGAAGCATCTTGAGGACTTGTTATTAGAGTGAAGAAGGCAACGCAGTTACAGATTTCTCACTCCATTCTCACATATTAACCATATGGCACATGTGTGTCCTCTATCTTTTGATCAAACAAAAGCAAACAAAATAATCTTTACCAAATAAAGACAGCCTTTGAGAAAAACAATTTCTTAAATATTTTCAAATTTTGTTAGAACTTGAGCTATATTGGTTGCCTCTAAAGGACTGTTCTTCAGAAGTAAATGAGGAATTCCACAAACTTGTATTGGTGACACTGTAAGTTGATCTATAAACTTGAAGAAGATCTTATCAGCATTTTATTGGGATTTTTCTAAAACAGAGGCTTCCCATAAGAATTCCACAGCTTTGTTAATATAACTTCTTGGGACCAGACTGATGCAAATGAAGTTAATATTTGCTTTCTCATTTTCCTTGACTTGTAATTTGAATAATATCCTGTGTCATTTATTCAAAGCCTTCAGATGGCACCATGTTTTTAAAGTAAATGTTGGAGAAAGTATTCTTCATACTCTTTCCAAGTGCAGGAAAGAACTACAAAAATTCTTGCCCTATTTGGATTGACTTGAATTCTGTGACTGTAATAAAGTTCTGTGATGTCCACCCATTCCAGTGCCTTGAGTTAATGCTGAATGTAGTGCTATTCCTTCTTGAATCTTTTCCCTTTTATTTTTTTCCATACAGAGGAGTTTGTTCTGGCAGCTCAGAAATTTGGTCAGGTTACACCCATGGAGGTTGACATCTTGTTTCAGTTAGCAGATTTATATGAGCCAAGGGGGTAAGTTGGCTTTTTTTTTTTTTTTTAATTAGCTTAATAAAAGAATGTTAGGAGGTAGGAGTAGGGGGAGGGCAGCATTTGGGAGAGAAAGAAGCCAAATGAAAGGCAACACTGAAATATGGAAAATGATAGAAGGAACACTGTAGAATTCCATAATGAAAATGTAATAAATCAATATTTTTATTGTTGCTTGTGCTGTTCCCTCTAGACGTATGACCTTAGCCGACATCGAGCGGATTGCTCCCCTGGAAGAGGGAACTCTGCCCTTCAAGTTGGCTGAGGCCCAGAGGCAGGTGAGTGAAGAGGGACAGATGTGCATGCTGGTGTTTCCCCTAGCTCCTTTTCACTCACTTGCCTTTCTGGCATTGGTACCTGACTTAACATTTTTCCATTTTACCTCCCCCACCCCGCCCAATGCAGACAATTTCAGAAGGCAGAAAAGTTACTTAGAAACCTTCTGACAATGAACACACTTTGGCCTCTGTTTATTTTTTTCAAAGATGGGGTGATTTCCTCACTGCACTGGTAGCTACACACTTGGTAAACACATAGATCTTTTCTTCTTCTTCCCTAAATCTCACATTGAGGGTTGAGAGGAACATGCAGTGGGTTGGTGTCACAGTCCCTGTCGCAGCTGTGTGTTGCTAAATGAAAGCCATCTTTGCTCTGCACAGAGGGACCCCGTCAGCGCATTGTCTAACTGCCATGCCTTCCGTTTTTCTGAATATCAAAATGAGATAATTTTGTTTAGTCTGGAGTTGTAGTTTGAAGGCTTTTAGACCTATTTTCTCTGTGAAAGGATTCATAAGTTATGTGGAAACAATTTTAGGAATGCTGAATTTTATTTTATGGTTAACAGAAACCAATCTCTTAAAGTTGTGGGAGTCAGAAACTTAAGACAGGACCTCCTCATTTAACTCTTACTCGACTCTCTATAGATCAGGCTTAGAGAAGAAAAGCCTCATAGCGGGTGTTGTGCTTGCTTGGCGTTTGTAAAATAAATCCACTCACAGACAGAGCGTAGTTTTTAGAAAAATACCTCCTTTAAGGCAAAGCCATCTCTGAATCCTGTGAGACTTAACCGTTTTTGGCTTGGAGCTCTGGGTCTGTACTAAGACGCCAGTTTGACCACAATGGGTTGATGCGGGCTACATTTTTAGGACTGTCAGGCCTGGAGCCAGGACCCCCTCCTTTTAGCTCCTTCCCACCCAAAGGCAGCGGCGAGTTTTGTGTGCAGCATGTAAGTCAAAGTAGTGGGTGTGTGCTCAGTAAATCCTAGTGAGGCACCTCTGGAAAACCAGCTGGCTGTGGTTAAAAGAGGAAGCCGCTTTCCCTCAGTGCAGGAGAAAGAACTGTATAATCACGTGCAGAGGTGGAAGCAACGTTGCGCTCCCTCCCTTTGATTTTAAACACTGCTCATGAGATGATTATCTCTTCATCTCTATGCCACCAGCTATGTAGAAATGTGGGGATTAAGAAAAGCAGAGACATTTTTTTTTTTTTAAGATCTCTCTGATCTCTAGCTGGTAGCGGTAGCCCACCATTTTCCCTTTATGCCCTTTGCAGCTTTTGAGAGTTTATAAGGGGGTGCTTGTTGATACCGGCCATGAAAGGGTTAGGCTAGTTTGATGAGATTTACAGCAGGAAATGATTGGCTGCTGCTTAGAGGTTTCTAGCAATTCACAGTAGCCTTGCCTGGCATACAGTGTGCTTTTTACTGTATGAATCCCACTGGGCCTTACAAATTCAAGCCAGGGAGGTCATCCACCTGTGGGCAGATGTGCCAGTCCAGCACCATGCAGCCCTTGGAACATTTGTCCTACACGGAGGAGCAAAGAAGGAGCTTTCTTATATCATTTTAGAATACACTACATTTTTAGTTTCTGGAAAGTTTAATGAAAGTCTGGGATTTCATTTGTCTTTTAGATGAATAATTAGTGATAATGGTGGGTTACTCCCCCTCATTATTTTCAGAGTATTTTCACTCATTATTTTGATGCCAGGACATTTCTAAGTGTTGCATATTTTTATCTATGTAAATAAAATAGTGCTTCTCTTTTGGATATGTCTGTCAAAATGAAGGTACTATTGATCTCCATCTTTTCAGGGATAGAGTTGGAATCAACCATGGAATTTGCAAAAAATGCTTTTCATTCTTACAGATGCATATTTCTATGTAAAGCTATTTTCAGTTAAGTGACTTTGAAGGAGATTCCAAATAATCTAATTGTATTAGAATTGTGTTGCATTGACAGCAACTAAAATTCAGTGGGTTGCTTGCTGGGGTTGCTGATTATTTTCATTCTTCACTAATTTTAATTATCATGGCTTTGAAAAACAAGTCTTATTGAATGTATTTATTCATTCAACAGGTATTTATTAAGCACTGACTGTATGTCACCCTCATTTGACAACTCAGTGTGACATAAATTTACTATTTTATGTATACAGGCAGAGAAGTGCAATACTCTGAAACATTTTGGCCTCAGAAACACTATAGAAAATAGCTCAAAAGAACAGCAACTGAACAATTGGCTGAGCTGAAGTATGAATTTAGGAAAAATGATAAAAGGAGGAAGAAGTAACAATTATCTGTAATATGGTCCCCTAGTTATAGGTACCATAAATATTTTTAATATCTCTGGGTAGTAGATAGTAGGGATACCAAAATGTTAGTTAGATACATGTAAAAAAATGACTTTATATTGCAAAATCTTAAAATTTATTTTTAAAATATTATCATGAAACATACCCGTCCACCCACCATGCTCTTTTCAGCTTATGTTTTCTTATATGATGCATTATGAACATTTTTGCCAATATTAGATATTCCTTGACAATATAATTTTTAATGACATACTTTAAAAAATATTTTTTTTGCAGTTGTAGGCGGACAGCATGTCTTTATTTTATTCGTTTATTTATTTTTTTAAATGTGGTGCTAAGGATCCAACCCAGTGCCTCACACATGCCAAGCAAGCACTTTGCCACTGAGCTACAGCCCCAGCGCATAATGGTGTACTTTAAAAAAAGTTATAGTGTTACATTTTAAACAGTCTTCTATTACTAGTGACTTAGGATATTTCCAGAGTTTTTGCTCTTTAAAGAAAAGTACTCTATTAACATTCTTGTAGCTTGATCTGTATTTACTTGATTATTTTCTAACCTAACTTTTTAAAAACAGAACTATAGGGTCATGGGTTAGGGAAATTTTAAATATTTGGATGTATATTATCACAGTTTCCCTCAGTTTATACCTAGTTTAATGGTAACTTTGAAAAGGTCTATTTTTACCATCTCTTGCCCGTCTGGGTATTGCCATTTAAAACAAAAATTACAAATAAAAAACTGATTGATTTGATTAATGAAGAATGAGGTTTGATTGGTATTTTTAAGTATGCATTTCTTTGATCACTAATGAGACTTGAACATTTGAAAATAGGTTCACAACTTTATCTTGGTAATAATTGCTTTTTGTTCAAATTGAATTTTAAACATTAGTAGCAAAAAAACCTTTTTGTTAATCAAAACTCATGGAATCTAACTCTGCTTTCCTCTTTGACATTTTAGTTATATCATGGATTGAGAACCCAGTGAGTAATTCTTTAATATGTGCTCGTTTTTTTTTTTTCCTATCCTTTTCCCCTGTCTGCCTGCTGCCTGTACCCCGGGCCTTGTGCATGCAAAGCAGAAAGCTTCAGGTGATTCAGCCCGGCCAATCCTCCTCCAAGTTGCAGAGTCGGCCTACAGGTTTGGTCTGGGTTCTATTGCTGGAGGTTAGTTATGGATGAGTACATAATTTTTGCTTTTATTATTCCTTTTTATCTTTTCTCTGATTTACCACCTTGAGCTATTACAGGTCAAATCCTGCCTAGTTGTTCCCCCCGGCCAGTTATCTATCCGTATGAGGTAGAACCAGGGCAAAGGGAACTCTTTTCCATACCTTCATGTGAGCAATGTCTTATAAGTGATACTTTTGTCTTACTTGTCTTCACACAACCTTTCTAAAAACAGGCTAGTAATGTAGTTAGGCTGTGGTGATATGCTTTTAATTTAAACTGTGCCAATCTTTTATCAGGAGATACTTGAGTGACAATCCACAGCACTTTATTAAGGGTATAGAAGGACAAGTTTTAAAATCTGGACATGCAGAATTTGTTTATTTTTTTCAGCCTTTTGTTTGATTTTGTCCACCTAGTCTGTTCTTTTCTCTACCTGACCCTACTTCCCTCTAAAATGATGTCGTTCTTTAATTTTAGCTGTTGGAGCCACTGCCGTGTATCCTATTGATCTTGTAAAAACTCGAATGCAGAACCAGCGATCAACTGGCTCTTTTGTGGGAGAGCTCATGTATAAAAACAGCTTTGACTGTTTTAAGAAAGTACTACGCTACGAAGGCTTCTTTGGCCTGTATAGAGGTTAGTGCCATGCCCTAAATTCTTGAAAGGTGAAATAAGGGTTTGGTTTCTCATCTCAGTTCCTGAAATGAATCAGAGAGACTGTGCTAAAATGGAAATGCAGCAGATTCTCAATTATCCATGCTAATGGGAGTAGGCTCGAGGCATCTAGGGCATGGCTAATCAAAACAGCCCAGAATCTGAAAGCCATTTATATTGCTGTGTTGTATGTTATATTTCTTAAAATAATAAATTATTTTTATAAACATCTTCAGCAAGTTTTTAAAAGGCTCATTGTATTCTTAAAGTATTCCACTCACCAGCTAATAGGGAAAGTTATTCTAGGATCAGGACAAAGCCTGCTCAGGATTCATGTTCTGGAATTATACCACAGTGTTCCTTATCCAGGGTCTCAGTTACTTGTAATTGACCATGATCTGAAAATATCAAGTAAAAAAAGTCCAGAAGTAGACAATTTATAAGTTGTAAATTAAGCAGTAGTGTAAGTACAGTGATGACATATCACACTTTTCTTACACCAAAGTATGATTTTCAGGTCATATATAGCTTTACACTAAATCACCTCCTTTCCCATAATCTCTGAGTCATTGGTCTTCTCACATCATCACAAGAAGAAGCTTTAGGTGGGTAGGGTACACTAAGATATCTTGAGAGACTACAGTCGTGTAACTTTACAGTATATCGTACAATTATTTATTAGCTATTGTAGTTAATCTTTTGCTTCGCCTAATTTATCAGTTAAAACTTTATCATAGGTATGTGTATATAGGAGAGAAGAGCATACATAGGTTGGACTATCCAGGGTTTCAGTGTCCACTAGAAGTCTTGGAATGTGCCCACCATTGATGGTGGGAGACTGTGAAACTACATTAAAGTCTTGTCAAGCAGATAACCAAGGGTTCAGTGCAGCACTCCTTTCCTGCCTCTTTCTGAGTGAAACTTGCTCCTTGCCTTCTCCCTCTCTACCCAGTGGAGTTGATTCACACACCATTGTAGCCTGGCCATCATGTCTCCAAGACCTATTCCTTTAATTGTGAAGCATGGTAACAGAAACAAAGAATATTTCCTTATAAATGGAAAGAACCCACAGACCCCCTGCTTCCCTGTTGGCCTTGGCCTAAGGGGACACACCTTGACTTCCCAACTTCATTTTTATGCTCATCTTCTGCAAATAGGAAAGAAGTGCCTTTCTGTCAGCTAAAATGCAGAACTGCAACGCAGTTCCCACCGACTGCTTTGCCATTTGGCCAACTGCAGTTCTCCCCTCCTTCCCCTCCCAGTGCTTGCTCTATAAGAAGATAGTATCTAGTGCTCTGCTGAGGCATATGATGAAACTGGCAGCCATATAAAACATGCCTCTAGGCCTCTTCTGCCATCTGCTGACTCTAGTCTCCAAAGTAAGCACCAAAGTTAAAAAACAAAAACCCTCTCACCTTAGAAGCTAGGAGGTTTCCCACTACAGAGGAGTTCCATTTTGCAGGTCCTAATATATAGGTAGATAACCCTCATCAAAGGCCTTTTGATCTTCTCTCTGCCCTCTACCCTTACCCCTGCCTCTTTTTACAATTTGGAAGGTCTTTGACCCCAGGTGATTGATGATGACCCCTGTAGGGTCACTGCCTTCTTTTTGAAATACTTTTTCTCCCTGATGACAACAACCTTGCAAATGAAATGGCTCCTACATAGTACAAGGTTAATGTCCCAGGGCTTGCTTTGCAGTGAGTTAGGCAGAAGTGACCACCTTAACTGTTCAGGTGGGTGCTTTTTTTGAAAGGACAACTTGGAACCTCTAGTCTGCACAGTGTCAGAGCCTTGGCATTGCTTCACCAACTACTTCATGGGTTTTCTTTTATATGTGCTAGATTGAATGTCAGTGTATCTTTGGAATTGTGAGAACCCTGTCCAGCACTACTAAGTGTTTTCAATTTGTTGTGTTGACTAGACTGTTTTTAATTTTTAGTCCCTCTCTCTTCTCTGTGACCACACCTGCCAGATCCTCATTCTTATTTATCCCTACATTTTTTAATGGGTGCATTATTGTGGTACATAATGGTGAGATCTGTTGTTACATATTTGTACATGCATGTGATATAACAATATAATTTAGCCAGTTATCACTCTCGAGTACTCCCCACCAGATTCTCATTCTTGATTATATCTAGATCTCTCTTCTGCGACCTGTCCTTTTCACCTGATAGTCAAAAGAGCTCAAAGCACACCTCAGTACCGATTGCTGAGCTAAGGTGGGCCTTAGAAAGTGGTTTATATCTCTAGGGACTGCTCAGTTATTGCATGTGGAAGATGGGAACAACCGCTGTTAGTTTCTCATAGGGAAAATGAGCTGGCATATTGGGTAGAGATAAGGCCCACTCGGAATAGCCAAGAGACAGCTCTTCACCCTATTCCAGGATTATAAATAGACATTTATCTATCTGCTTGGGTGTCTGAACCTTCAGGGCAAGGGCCAAATACATCTGTCGAGATGACAAATAGAGTGTGAATATTGGAAAATTAGCCCTGGGAGTCACCTATGTTCATTTTGTCCTGAGTTCTTTTCTTTTCCAGCAGACAAACATTTACTGTAAAACTCTTGTTTAGTTCCAATCTGTAATTTGGATCTTGAGAGCAAAGAGATGATAGACAGTTCAGGTTAAAAATAATAATAATGATTTACAATCTTGCCATGAAAATGACTTCTTTCTTTTCTTGCTTGATCAGGGACTAATTCCCTTTAGTTCCTTGCGCATAATCATTAATTGTGTGTAACTACATGTTTATAAATGCTTATCACCGGGGAAGAGAGAGATCAGATGAAAATGTAGATACTTAGGGGAAACTATCATTATTAAAAGAAATAATAGAAATAAAAAAGACCTGAGGTATTTCTGAGACTTACTTAGTATTGTAACCTTTATATACACAGTCAAGATTTAAATATTTGCCTGTGATCCTTTGTACATTTCTCATTAAATGTAATTTTATTGTTTTAAAAATTTTATTATTCTAGAGGAAAATGGTTAAATTTGAAATTCGAGAATATAAATTGACTATACTAATGCTTTTACCTTGCAACATGTGAGAAGATGTCGGAGTGCATTTCTAATTTATAAACATGTTTCAAAATATTGAGCATTTTTTTCATATTTTAAAATTTTACATAACATGTAATTTTTCTCCATCAAGACATATATAATTGCTCATATTCCCTGAATAGGATAATTTGAGAATGTTGCATAAGTGAGGTCTCTCCCCTATTTTAAAATTACCTTTGTGTATACTTTTTAAAAAGTTGGTGAATGACTCCGAATGAAGGTGCCTTTGCAGCATGTATTCTTATTACAAGGTTAATAACTATCTTTCTCTGTCACAGTCTTTTTTCTTATACCAAGAATACAGGAAGCTGTTTTTGTGTTTAAAAGTCTTCCCTGTGGAACTAGAATGAAGATTATTTTCAAATAATTCTTTTAGCTTCAGGATGCTCTGTTTCGCTTTTTCCTTTCTCATGCAGCTGCCAACATCTGCATAAAGTCCCGGAAGTTATCCTGCAGTAATCAGAGAGCACATTTGAATCCCTGTCCCTTCCTCCCAAGGAGATCAGAACGTAGCTCTAGGGACTGCTGGTGATGGCCTTTCTTTAGTAGACTGCCTCAGGGTCAGAAGAAATTTTAACTTTGTGAGCTGGTAGTTCTTACTCTCCATGTCTCTGTTTCTTTGTCTCTAGGACACTCTTATTTTTTTGTGTAAGTTTTGGTTTCTGGAAAAGATCTCCTTAGAAGTTCTCTGATTCTGGCTCCACGAACTTGCTCTATAGTAATGCAGACTGCTTTCTTGCTTTCTTTACACACAGACACACACACACACACACACACACACACACACACACACACACACACACTGGTTTTCATAAGTTTTTTGTAATTTTTAAAAATATGACCTCCAGGCTAAGTTTGTCTGTCTGAAGGGAAATAACACCTGACATACTCCAGACCCAGTGAATCCTCCAGAGCCTTAATGAATTACCTGACAGCTCATTTGTTCTGAATGAACTGGATGACCAATGAGCCAGTCATTGGCCTCTACTATAGAGCAAGGGATATTTAAGAGAAACAATTGATTAAATGCTCTGAACTTTCCAGAAACAACTAATTTCTGCTTTTGAACTTTAGGGCACTCTCCTGTCTCAGATGCTTCTGGTGCTGAGATGAGCAGCCTCAGAAATTAGAAAATGATTTGGGAGGACCTTTGGGAAAAAGACGTATTCAAGAGAAATCAGGGTCCCATCAGAAATACTTCTTAGAGGAAGGTTTATGTTTCCATTGGTGCAAGAAGCCCTAAAGAAAATTCTCCAGAAAGAGAAATTAGATCATTCGATGAATGAAACTTAATTTGGAGTAGTACTTAATCTTTTGAGGTAATTGGCCAAAAAAGGGGGGAAAAATTAATGAGTCCACTGATCCAGGTTTGCAAAGTTTTAAATATGTCTTATTTCAGGTTGTCTGTGTAGCATGAAGCAGTCATCTTCCGTCCTGGAATGTTCTCAAGGTGACATCTAGAGGATGTTGTGGTGATATATCAGGAAGTCATTGATCTATGTATATTCTGAAAGGAAGTTTTGTCAGGCAGCTAATTTATGCCAGATTTCTTCTTGTGTTTGATGGTACCATAGAAGGGAGTATCCAAATTGTGCGGCCCTTAGTGAGAGTCTTTCTCCTTGCAAAAATTTTTTGGGCAAAAATAGATTAAAAAATCCTAATACTAAAATAAAATGAAGTTTGCATGACTCTGAATTACATTATTTAAGAACACGTGCATTAAGGAACAAACCACGACTAAACTGCGAACTGTCCTGAGCCAGGGGTCCACCCTTGTCCACCAAAAGTTTTTTAATGAATATAAAATAGTTTAGTTTGAGTTTTATTTTCTTAGCCAATTGCTATATATTCTGTTAAGAGTGTTAACACTCTTAACTAAAAACTAAAAAAAAAAAAATGATTATGGGA